CAGCCAGCAACTGGATTCCGGCACCCCGCATAGTGTGGCGCAAGATGTCATCCAGATGATGGGTATCCAGACTCGAAGTATCGATGAGCTGGTGGTTATTGGCCGACATACGGCTAGGGACGTCCCGGCCTATTATCTCCAGAACCCTTTCCATAACTTTGGTCTCCACTTGCCTTCGAAGCCGTTCGTGCTCAGAGAGCTGAGTCTTGTTGACCTCGATTTCCGGCAACTAACGCCTGCCATGTTTACTTCATTCAGCATCACGACACTTCGCACTCTTCAGGTCAAGCAATGCTGCTGGTTGAAGAAACTTTTCGAGCACCTGATGAGCTCAAAAGACCCTCTTCATCTTCATACGGTCAAGATTAATATATACAGCTATGGAGAGTATCTTCAGCCGGATGAAGCTTTCGGATTCGCCAAGTTCTGCAAGTCATTTTCGACTTTGAAGAAGGTCGAGATAGAAGCTGGTGCAGATTGGCAAACTGACTTTGACGCGCATATTCTCAGTTCACACAGCGAACTCGAAGAGTGCTTCCTGAGTCTCGGCAAACCATCACTAGACATGGCGACGATCGAGATTCTCCAGGAGAACCACAAGAACCTCAAGGTGTTGGGTTTCAGGTGTCAAGAGATAGCGGGATCTTTGGAGCGGGGTCGTTTATTACAAGACGGTGAGAAGAAGGTTGCTCTTCTGGCTGCTGAATTGCCGCTGTTCAAGAAGTTGGAGGAGTGGCAGTTGATCTGCAATACTCCTCGCTTCAAGGACGTATTGGGTAGTTTCAAGACCATTGCGACGGAGATACACCAGCGCGTCGCGGCTGCCTTTGGCACACGTCCACTCAACATCAACACCATTTCGATCCTCACTCGAGACATCTTCTACACCCCAGATGAGGTCGACGCTGGGCAGATACCCCACATGCATAGATTTCATTTCTCAAATGTGGTAGCAGAGGCTGGGGGTATTCAGTGTTGAAGGAAGGGACAAAGACCGGTTACAGCATGCGGTGAAAGCTCTTGTGTATCGCATTAAGTTGGCGTTTGTGAAGCGGAGATATGTGCAGGACCTTCTGGAAGTGCTGCAGGTAGATAGAACAGCAGGATACACATGGACTTTGAGGATGACAGGCAGTACGTCAGAAATAGCAATCACATATTGCACATACACATCTTAGCGCCTAATTCATGGTTCCACATCAGATCATATGGAGTGGCCCGAAGATGTAGGGTTTCAAGTCGCACGCGAGTACGAACCTTAATCGACGCCCTAGATGGGTGGACTTTGGGCTTGAATGAGAAGTTCGTGTAGTGGGCGCTTTATCTTTGTGTAGTACGTGTGATCTGAGGCACCACATAATTCGCCACATAGTATAGGATGTTGTGAACTCGTTGCCACTTCCCCTGCTTGTCGAGCATGTTGTTGGAATGTATGTAGGGCCTGGTTCTCCGACGTGTTCGTAGTCAGCGAGCAGAATAGTCAGACAAGAGCCTGTATCTGCGCACACTGCTCCTTGTGACTCTCTTGACCGGCTCTGTTGTGGGAGACATGGCAGAGGCCTGTTGGACATTCTTGGAGACGAGAGGACGGGAAAGGACCCATATTGTGACGACTGGGTCTCTTCCGGAAACGATCCGTAGTCCGAAGACAAAATGGCTTTCGCGAATTTTGGGTCTGGAAACGGCGGAGGCATTAGGTCAGTTCGACATAATGGCGTGGACGGTGGAACGACAGAGGAGGCGCCTTGAGAAGATGTCTGGAACTAGATCGGGTCGCTCTTGTGTCCAGTCTCCCTCCTCTTCGCGTTGACGTCTCTTCCGGGGTAGGGCGTAGACGAGTCTACTCTGGCACGTTTGCAGCTGGTCTTCCACCTGCGCGACTTCAGCATCTTTCTAATATTCTCTTTTGGCTCATACTGCTGCGCCGATGATCATGTTGTTCTCGATAAAGGACTAGAGTGGATGCCGAAGCAAAGTCTGTAATGCCGTAGTGCTGGTGGTGCTATACTGAGAGTCGTCCGAGGGGTGGGGTGGGGGTGGGGGTGGGGAAGACGCCGAGTCCCATCCCCTTGTCTATGATATCTAGTGACGATCCGTCCGCTCTACGAGGTTATCCTACGGTATGACTTTCCTCCTCGTCTGATTGCCCTGCGTTCTTACATGGCCAAACATCCTTCTTTGCATGGAAAAGGTGCGTGGCGATATCTTGGTTGATCCGCCTCATTCCCTGACACTGCAGTGGTGCGAAGCAGCGCCGCGGGCGTTGCTCCACTTCTGAACTCCCTATGTCCCCATCCAACCAAGTCCCGCATCAGCCCGTTGCCCGGTTTCAAGCTGGGATCACCATGGGTGTCCATCCCCTGGCCTGTGCAAACTAATACGCCATATCGTCCCAACGTCTAGCCCTAGTTTATACCCATTTTGGTTATACCATAACTACAGCGCCCGCAATGTGCCCTTTCTTCGCTCCTAACCCATCGTCGTCGAGTTTCGCACTGGCGGTAGCCGGCTAACCGCGTCATCCGCCACGCATGAGTTTCTCCTGGTGCAGGACGGTACCGCCATACCTCCTCTCTTAGAGTACCTTTTCTGTTCCTATAACATCAGCCCCATGCGCTAGAGCTTAACTATGTACTATCGTTGTCAAATTTCTTAATTATTATCATATTGTAGATAACTTGTCCATTAAAACCCAAACTTCTCGCATTATTAGCGCATTCAAAGGTTAAACTGTAGAGGTGAGCTGCAGTCTACATTAGTATCAGAACAGAAACTGGCAAAATTCCAACGTAATGTAGACTCTTGGCTGCTTACATCCATCACCCTCTAGACATGAATGTTCCTGAATGCGTTACTTCATATTCATACTTCTTTACTCGCCGGACCGATCAAGAGTCCATGTCCGCTCCCAATTTAATACCCACCGACACTGGATATACTACCTTTCCTTGCACCTTTTCCTCAATGTCCATCAATGTCAGGTCAATCGGTGCCATTTAACCGATGTTTGTTGTTTTGTTACCCCCTATAGCGAGGCCAACAATGCACGCCTGGTTGTCGTGACGTTCTTCATTAAGGAGGATGAGAGAACCTGAATCCCCTGGGGATATAAAAGGGGCTCCGTCTCGCATCGTAGATACTATGGAGTGGCAGAGTACCGGTTTGAAGGTGTCGGTCTTCCCACCTGTGTTGTTGACTTCCTTAAATGCATGTACGCTGGTGTTGAGTATGGACATTGCACGGTTGACGACTCCCCTTGTCCACCCTGAAGTCCTACCGATCTTGACGACCTCATAGCTTCTATCTTCTTGTATCGAACCCCATTCGGATATCTCCGAATCTGATGCAGAGTGCCGGTGATCAGTTGAACGCGGAGTCTTTGATACCGCCAAGCGAGGTGCGTCTATCGAGAATAGCGACCAGTCAATGTCCCACTCCAGGGCTGGGCCCTCGGTTGTATCGTTGGTACTGCGGCTTTGTTCCGTCCAATTCTCATGCTGCTTCGCTGTGTACCTGGGATGAGGACGAGAGGTTTTTGCTGAGCTTGCCCATGATCGTACGGACAAGGGTTCGTCTCTTGCTCGCCCAATAACGCGCTATCTCTGCCGCCGTCGGTCCTTGTAATGCTGTGACTGTGAAGCTCTCGCCGACCACTCGGTCGATAGCTTCGATCGAAGCGTCTATGTTGTTGGATAGGATATACTGAGCGATTTCTTGGACTGCAGAGGCGCAGTGCTCGTACTGGCGCGGCTCTCCGAGATCCGTATAGAATACGATCGTTGGGTGGGAGGTGGCCAGTTCTGTAGGCCTTGTCCGCGCGACGTATCGAACAGGACCGAGAGTGCTTACGCTATGAGTATCTAAGATTTTGTTGATCGCGGGTTGGTGGGCGACCAAGTGTTTGGTGGTCGTTGGCAGACTTTGCAGTGGCAGGCTTCGCAGCCTGGGCCAACCGAGTCGCCAGGCGCATCTTGTATCAATCTTTGGCTCCATGATCGGTATATCTCCTGCAGAAGCAAAAGGTAAATGTAGAGAGAGACGTGCAGTCTCTATTAAGAAAGAGGGCGCACTGTGTGCAGTGTTCTCAGATCGTGAACGTTTGTGGGAGGAGAAAGCACGGTCGGTGAACGGGCGTTTGGAAGACATTATTGAATGAATGTTTCTCGTTGGTGTGGCTACTGATTCGCTGGATGTAAGCGGTAATCCGTCGTACCCTGGTTGACGTTCACAATTTGTCTAAACCCAGCGCAGGATCCATGACGTCACCCACGCTCAGAACAGCGCTAAACCGCAAGGGTCTCTCTCCACTAACTTGAAGACTCCAACCTACCTACCTACAGCTCTCCGTATTCAAGTACCACATATCCCAATGCTTAGGATGTTTGTGCTCGCACCAGATCTTCAGCTCTCCGGCTACTGCAGTCTTTAGTCGTTCAACTGCTGCAGCGCGCAGGCATCGCAGGCATCGCAAGCATCGCGCTCGTTGCTGTGGCCAATTTGGCTTAACTTGCGCGCTGCAGCACGATGTATTGCATTACAACTATCAGGTAAACAAGAAAGAGGCTCTCTTTGCTAGCTGTCGTCCTTGTGGCATTTTTCATGGCGTTTGATAGACAACTAACACTGTAAAGACATCCACTCGGGTCGCCAATGCACCCCCAGCATACCTACCTCACTGTGAAGCGGACTCTGTCTTGCTGAGCTCTACGTAGCATGATGCCTCTGGTCTGCAGCCAGACAGACGCTCTCTACCTGGCATCATGTGGGTGAGATAGGTTCCCATGCCCAGTACGGCTCGTCGTCCCCAAACGCGACTTCCTCCAACGCACCGCCCCGCAGGTTTGCGCCTGCGCAGCTTCCTCAAACAGAAATACATCGCGCACAATCAATTCCAAAATGCGGGGCCACAGCATATCGAGTGTAATTTCGCTGCCCTTCTGCTCTTCTCTTCCGCGTCGTCCTTGTCCAGTCCTAGCTTTGCCCACTCCCCCCAGCCCAGCATGCCTCGCTTCCAGAGCCGACGAGAGCTCCTTGAGATTGAGGTCATGAACCGGCTTCTACGAGAGCCATACTGGCAGCCCTTCATGAGAGAGGAGGTAAACGCCGCCAACAAATTCAGAGCTACGCGGGCCTACAAGGAACACCGAGAAGCATACGACAAGAAGAACAGCACACCCGCTGCCTCTACGTCCAAGCCTGGTGAGACTACGCCAGCTCAGCATGAAGCTGGTGACGGAAAGGAACTCCCCGCTGCGCTGAAGACACCGCCCGCTGCCTCCACGTCCAAGCCTGGTGAGACTCCGCCAGCTCAGCATGAAGCTGGTGACGGAAAGGATCTCCTAGCATCCAAGACACCGCCCGCCTCTACGCCGAAGCCTGGTGAGACTCCGCCAACTGAGCATAAAGCCGGCGACGGACAGGAACCCCCAGCAGAATTCGATGCAAGGAAGTCGCCGATCACCACCACCGCGACCATCACCACCGAAGCGCCCATGTCAACTGCAGCCAACATCTCACCCGCAGCGCCCATACCAACGGCAGCTAATATCTCAACCGCAGCGCCTACTCTTACAGCAGCATTGAATGCCACAGCAGCATTAACTGCCACCGCCATCCCCATCACAGCCGCCGTCCCCATCACAACCGCGACGCCTATCACAACCGTGACGCCCACTCCTACAGCACCCATACCAACCGCAGCTAATACCTCAACCGCAGCGCCTACTCTTACAGCAGCATTGGATGCCACAGCCATCCCCATCACAGCCGCCACCCCCATCATAACCGCGACGTCCATCACATCCGCGACGACTACTCCTACAGCAGCATTTACTGCTACTGCCACCCCCATTGGAACACCCGGCATACAGGACGAGTGCTCTCCTCCGAACAACGACGACCACGAAGAATATGGCGTCGCCATCCCGTTCAGTCAGAGTAGCGCGCAGCCCCCAGAGCCAGAGTCTCGGAAAAGGGTTAAGCTGACTGTCGACTTGTCGCAGCCACCAAGCCAGTCGGACATTGAGGCAATGCAGCTTACCAAGGCAAAAGATTTGGACCACGCGTCCGATTACATCCTGAAGCTGACCCTCCGAATGGACACGTGCCCACGGGCGGGGATGCTACGTGACGTCGTCCACATGGCGGTGCAGCAATATCAAGAGTCCGACGCTGCCATACCGCTGCGTCTTCTTCCGCTCAGACCGTGGCCGATCAGCCTCGCCTCCATTATCGAGGTGTGCCAACTTAAGATGTGGCTGTCCGGCACGACTATCGACTTCCTTGTCGAGAGATGCGGCAGTTCACGGGGGTACTCACCGGAGGTCGTGTATGTCGCTACAAGCCGTCCAGTATACATGGAAACCATCGGCAAGTCATCATCTAACCCCAAGATACGCCCCGACATCGCGTCACTTGTTCCGCAATCAGTCTTCATCCTCCCTGAGCTCGACGCCGCAGCGTCCATCGTCTTCACTTGGAATCCAACGAACAGCCATTGGGTAGTGGTGCAGGCCCTATGCATGGAATTTGGGGCGGGGCTCATGCGCGTGTACGACACAGGACGTAGATACCGATCTACGTCTATGTTCGAGCAGGAGCTCCGGCAATTTGTTGCGCTGGTGGCGCTCTCTCACCCCCGGTCCAGATTAGCGAACGTCGATTGGAACACAGTCGCCATTATACGAGGACACAGTACAGCAAGAGGCAGATGACTGCGGGGTCTTCGCAGCGTAGAACCTGAGGACATTACTTCACAATGACCAGCCCGCGAAGTCGGCCTCCAATGCTTTGAGCGTTGGCATGGCACTCCGATGGGAGCTGTTCACCGAAGCACACAGCACTATCAGCGGCCGTGATCCCCCTTACTGCTCGAGCCAGGCTGCGCTCCATGCGCACATCGAGCATCTATCTGGCGACATGCGCAACCCCACTGGCATTAGCCCGACTAGCAACGACCACAACGATGACAAGAGCAAGGACCCCGACGACAACGACTATGACAGTGACAGCAGCGACGGCTACGCTGAGCGCATATCCCTGTCTCAGACTTATGTCGACCCATCATGGCAAGATGAGCACGATCTTTTGCTCAAATCGTTCTCGGAATTGCTGACTAAACCTGAGGCCTTGAAAGCGCTGTTAGGGGGGAGAAAGAACGGCGTACCTGGTCCTCGTCTGGCGCGAAAATTTAAACGGCGAACATTCGCGAGAGGGGTAACTCCCTGGTCCAGGTTATCCAACATCGCTGGTCCAGGTTATCCAACATCGCAAGCAGATCCATCAATTACGTCAAAAACGACGGTTCAGTTGTCAGTGGCATGTATCAAAAGGGTTGCGCGCGACTCCTGCTTGCATTTCCAGAGCTTTATGCACTCGAGGACAACACCACCATCCGCGCCACCGCGACTCGTGCTATCTTTGGCACAGGTCTCCATATTTGCGCTTCACCGCCTGACCCGACACGCACGTACGATATGATATTTCCGTGCTTCCGTCGCTCGGGCAGGCCACGGGACGGTATCAGCTCCGACACCGAAGTCCTCCACAACGAATCGGAATACGTCGATGTACGCCTACAAGCGATATATGATCAATGGGAACAAGTCTTCAATAACTACCCAAGACCCCACGACAAGATTGACACGCAAGGAGCGCTAGCAATGCAGAGCTTCAGGCCGGTTTGGATCCCACTGATATTAGGTTACATAACATCGACACTCCCACTTCTCAACTCAGATGGACATTCGGCGCGAGTGGCGACCTACTATGAGACACAGCGACAGGTTGTCCATCGCATGCAGGTTTCTGCTGGTCGGCGCATCAGGGTCCTACTTCTGTTTCACGGCGTGAATAGAGTGGCGACTTTGCGAAGGCTGTTCATACACAAGACTGGTAGAACATGCCGCACGCCTTATATGAGAAACAAAGCGAACAGGTCTGGGGCTACATCAACATGAAAACACGCCAAGTAGGTGATCTAACGTCGATGTAGGCTCTAGGGTGTTCAGACTTTTCCTAGGTCGACGTGCGTATGTGATGAATATACAGGCGCTCTTTCAGCTTATACCAAACAGGTCTACAGACTACATTACGACAAAAGCATGCAACGTGAGTGACCTGACGTCGATGTAGGCTCCAGGGTGCTCAGGATTTTCCTAGGTTGACGTAATTCCGTGGTTTACCAACGGGATGGACTAAACGTACTCCCAGCACGATCGAGATTGCTTTGCATCAGCAGCTTCTCCTTTTCAGTCAAGCCTCACAGCCGAATCAATTACCGTTAGTTCCGTTTTTGCCGTTCGGTCTGTTGAGGACATCCTCTCCCGGCACTGGCACCGCGATTCCAATGCCCTCCTCCTCTGCCATCTTTTTCTGCCATGGTAACATCTCCTTTGCCGGTACCGCCGGCCCAACCTCGCCGCCCTCCTTGCGCTTCTCGGCCCACTCATCAATGTCTTTCTGCTCGATGAAGTTACCATGTAGACCGAGACGCAACTTGACAGGTAGATGAATGACAGCCAGCGGCCCCTGGGAGAGGTTCTGCGCATCAAAGATGAGGATGTCGTTGCGCAAAACATCGAGATGGTTGAGCAAAGCCATGATGTATCCTTCGCCTTCCACGAAGTCTGATGGAGAAGACGAGGCCTTCGGGACGAAGACAGGCTCTTGGAACGTACATATTGGTCCTGCCCAGAAGGTATCTTTCTTGACATTGTCCCACTCATAGTGTCCCAATACGTTGAAGAGTCCACCAGCTGGCGGGCCACACTTCTGGAAGTCATACGGCTTGCTTGGGTCGATGTTACATTGCCAGAAATGGTTGTACTTCTTCGTTAGGACTCTATCGTCGATGCGTGAGAACTCGCCGTTGATACCGAAGAGCTTATGAGGCTGTACCCGTGTGTTGGTTGGAGTTTTGGGATCGAAGACCCAGCGGTAAGTATCAGAGACCAGCTTGTTGCGTTGGAGTAACGTCGTGGGTGTGTCTGCTTGGCTGTCTGGTGGGAAGAAGAAGAAGACGTTGTCTGAAGCTATGGTCAGGTCGACGACAATGTTTCCAGACGAGTCTTCGTAGGAGCCAGCGACGTGACCATGAAAGCCTGAAATCGTTAGCGCCTGTCACGATATCACTAGTGGCATACACACCGTTGTCGGCGCGTAGCCAGACAATATCCTCTGGCTTTCCATTCCGACGAGGCACGATGCCGTACCACTGGTCTTCGTCTGGGTCCCACGCAAAGTGATTGCCGCCCTTCTTGAGCCTTTCAGCATTGACCTTGATTGGCGTGAGTGGTAGAATCAAGTAGTTCTTCGTGATGGCGCAATCGTGTATCATCCCACAGAACGGTGCCTTGTACCAGCATTCCTCAGTTTTCTTCCCATCTTTGTCGATCGTGTATACTACGATGTCACAACTGGCATCATACCCATTACCTCCAGCTTCATAGCCATAGCATACCATTTCTCCAGTGTCTGGATCAAATTTGGGGTGCGCAGTAAACGTTGGAGATTGTACTTGACCGTCGAAGTCATATCGGCCAATGGTCCCTAGTGTGACTGGATCCATAGCAAAAGGTGGACCGTCTTCCTTAATGGCTAGCAGCACCCCGCGCCAGAAGATGATGTTGGTATTGGAAGCTGTTCTTATAATACCTTTCACCATCTCATTATCGGTATATGGGTTTCTGTATCGGCCAAGTAGAGATTTGCGCGCCTTCGTTTCCGCCTTGAACCGGTCGGTATGTACATATCGCTGTCTGAAGTCGACGTGACCGTTCTCGAAACGAAATGCTGAAACCGAACCATCGCCGTTGAAGTGTATGTCCTCCTCGTATAAGGGTGGGAAGCGATGGTCTGGTTGTATACGGAAAAATGTTCCGTTGATATCTTTGGGTATCTGAAAGGACTAAGCTTCCGCGCTCTGTCTCTACAGGACGGCATACTCACTGTACCAGTCGTCTCGAGCTCAAAGATGTCGGCTTCGAGGCGCGATGGTTTGTTGAAGCCTTGGAAGAAGCCACTATCTGGGAACTTGACTTGGTCATCCGATCGGCTCCCTTCATGATACGCTGATGAGGCAGGGTTCGCGAGAGAAAATATGTGTGCCATCGCGTACGTGCTGTGCTCTCCCACCTGGCAGTAAGGTGGTCTAATACTAATTGTCCCTCATATTACAATGTTTCGTTCTGCAAGGAGACGCATCGGATTGCTACCAGACGTACTGCCGTGCTCGAAATTTACAAGTATGGATGTGGGGAGGTGGACTTGCGGGGTAGTTGGGGATGGTTACAGGGGTTGTTGTGCCCGGATTGATGCGACCGCGCGGGATCGCAAGCGGGACTATTGGTCCGACACACATTGAACCCTGAATATGGGACGATTCTATACTTTTGGACACGGACATAGCCGTAGCGCTGGACTGAGAGTTTCTCGTCCGAATATAGCTATGACAGATCATAGCACGCAGCTGACTCGGGGATGATAGGTCGCCTTGCTCCGTCTCCGACCCGCTGAGAGGGATGCTTTACCGGGAAAACTGTCTATAACGCAAATCAGATGGTGGTGACTGTGAAGGCTTGTGTGGCGACTTTGGTCGCGTGCATTTGCTCTTTCTCTAGGGCTTGCTGCGCATCATTAGCGATGTAACTTTGGGCTTCCAATAAACCTGTCAGACTGCATAGAGTAGGATGCAAAGAGCTCTGAAGCCGTGGCCGCGTTGTGCTTGTACGACACCAAAAACGCCACTGACGAGTTGATGCGAGCACGAAAGACCTGATATTATTTGTTCGAATATTTGAATCATTCCAATCGCATTACGCGAAGGAAGGGCTACGTCTTCATGCGCCATATCGACACAGGCAACGCAGGTATAGTCATAAAGTCTTTCGACATTCTAAGCTAAGCATTCTTTTACGAATCAGATTCTGGTTTGCTCAGCACGAGTGGGGGAGTGCTTGTTGAAGCATCCTGACCAAAGTGTGGAGCTCTAAGATCATCGTCGGCGACTTGCTCACCAGTGACAGGGTGATTGTAGTGGAATGGCACGACGCGCGTGTCAGGCCAGAGCATCGGACGATCGCAAAGAACGTCTGGCCCATTTGGATCCTCCGGGTACGTCTTCGAGAGGAAGGGTACATAGTTCGGCTTGGTGTGCGCCCACCCCTTTTCGAAGGTCGCGTGCCAGAAGGGGAAGTACTTCAACCTGAAGATCTTCCATGCCCCGTTCTCTTTGATGTATTCGTTTTCGTATATGCCACCTTCCCACCATTGTACTAGGCCGCGAGGGTGTGTATCTTTGATGCTATCGTGGGTACCGGCCGACATCATGCTGCGGAAGCGACCTTTGGCTCGCGTGCCATCGGTATTGACGTCGACTATGCCCTGCATCTGTGGGTGATCGAGAAGGAAGCCATGCACAGGGCCATTGCGTCCGGCTACGAAGGCATTCGCGAAGCGACCGATGTAGAGTCTCTTGACGCCCTCCTTGCCATTGTATCGGCCTCCGAGAAACTCAACGCATGTGTCTGGGTGATCGGAGTAGAGGTTGGCGACCTGTCAAGATGAGCTTCTAGTCAAGTAGCTTCTTCGCTCTACTAACCTCCTTGTACAGACACTTATCGAGATAATACCCGTAGGTGTACTGAAGCTTGCGAATGTCCTCCTGATCTGGTGTTCCGTTAGCAGACCGCAGGAAGCTAATCGATAGCTGACTAAGCACATACCGCTCAAACGCGTTACCTCCGCCTGAAGCTTCCCCACCATAGCCTTCAATTGCTCAAGCTCGCTACCCATGATGTCGGCGTCTCAGAAAGGTTATAAAAGTGCAAGTCAACCGATCGCTGAGGCTCTACGCCGCTTCTTATCATTATCAGTCTAACACGAAGTTGTCAGCGATACAGGGAACTATTCCCCAACCACGTGAGATTCGCAGCAAGGGTGGAATTCTTGCGAGGGCTCCGCGAATGGGCTCGCCTATATTGGCGGTGGTATGGACGCGACATGTCTGAAGCCGCGGGTTGATATTTCCGGCGGGTCGTTTTGAGAACGTGTGGAGCAAGACGGCACCGAGGTGGGGTCATCGAAGCAACGCCGTGCCACAGCCTCGCTGCTTCTCCAAATTTACCGCACCTATCTCCACGGAAGAGATAGCATACGCTGCCACAATCCTTTGAACCCTTATCAAGAGACGCTTGCATATACTTGCTCTAGATTTTCTGCCATCAAAATGGGTCTACCGGAGAAAATCGAGACGCGTCTCTTCATTAATGGAGAGGTTGGCTCTCTTAAACCAATTGATGATGCCTCCGCTAACTACTTTATAGTTCGTTGAATCATCAAATGGGAAGACGTTTGACATTATCAACCCCGCCACATTGAAGCTCGTAGCAAAAGGTGAGTCTGGAACGTCAACGCAAGAGCTTGCGACGAATTTCGGAGAAAACAGACTTACGATCGTTACAGTCCACGAGGCATCTGAGCATGACACCGACAATGCTGTCGCTGCAGCAAAAGCTGCTTTTCCTGCTTGGTCAAAATTGACTCCAGACCAAAGAGGCCAATACTTCAAGAAGTTGGCTAGTCTGATCCGAGAGAACAACGATGAGTTGGCCGCTTTAGAAGCAAGCTCCATGGGTCGCCCAGTAGGCGAGTTCTTCGATGCCTATGCTTCTGCGGCGAAGTGGGATCGTTATGCAGAAGCTGGATACAGTGTGCAAGGTAGGATGGGTGAGTGTGAGTTTTGCAGCAGGTTACCAACATTGAACAGGTACCACGAGCGTTCAAACCCCGGGGTATGTCAACATGACGCTGCGTCAACCTTACGGTGTTGTAGCTGGCATTATTCCCTGGAACGTCCCGTTGTTGTTTTTGGCCAATAAGTTAGCACCGGCTCTTATTGTCGGGAATACTGTTGTCTTGAAGAGTTCTGAAAAGGCTCCATTGACTGTACGCCATTCTTTCCACACTCCTGCAATAAACTAACGATAGTAGTCCGCAAAAATCGCCACTCTGGTACAGCAAGCTGGCTTTCCTCCAGGTGTGATCAACATCATCACCGGCTTCGGCAATGTTAGCGGATCCATCTTAAGTCACCACATGGATGTACGAGCGTTATCGTTCACAGGCTCAAGTCGTACGGGACGTTTGATCCAGGCAGCCGCCGCAAAGTCCAACATGAAGCAAGTATTCCTCGAACTTGGAGGCAAGTCTCCGGCGGTCATCTTCGAAGATGCCGATCTGGAAAAGGCCGTGAAGGAAACGGCTCACAGCATCCAGTGGAACAGTGGTCAAGTCTGCATGGCCAACTCGCGCATTTACGTCCAAGATACGGTTGCCGACAAGTACATCGAGCTCTTCAAGCAGAACTTCGAAAAAGATGTCAAAATGGGTGACCCCCTTGATGCGCGTGAGAATGGCGTCAACCATGGCCCACAAGCTGATGAGGCGCAACACAAGACTGTGTTACAATATTTGGAATCGGGAAAGAAATCCGGCGGCGAACTCCTCACTGGTGGTGGCGCTCCATCGGGACGCGAAGGCTATTACATTGAGCCCACCATATTCAAGAATACGCCAGAGGACGCAAAGATCATGAAAGAAGAGATCTTTGGCCCAGTTGTCAACATCAATGTCTTCAAGACTGAGGACGAGGTGCTCGCGAAGGCTAATGCAACAGAGTTCGTCTCACGGTCCCTAGCGTGGCTAAGCTGAAACAAACATTGACTAATTTTGTCTAGGTACGGGCTATATGCGTCAGTGTACACCAAAAACATCGATCGCGCGATGCGCTTAGCAACAGGGCTTGAAGCTGGTACGGTCGGCGTCAACTGCACCTCACCAGGTAAGCAATATGCATTCGATTGGAATGTACGTGATGCATTCGCTGACTCGACGACACCTAGTTACCGGCGTAGACATGCCCTTCGGTGGATACAAGTCATCAGGCTCAGGACGCGAAGGCGAGCCTCTGTATTCCCTGAACAACTTTCTGGAAACAAAGAGTGTCTTGATTAAGATATCTTAAATATTGCGACATGACACGATCGGCTGGGACATGATTTGCCGTCTCTCCAGCGCTATTCTGTGTTCGCTATAGATTTTGATTAGCCGACCGGCAGGTTCTGCAGGGTGGCCTTGCACGGGCGCAATGCCCCAGCAGATCCCCCGCTAGAAATGGGATCCCTTTTCCTTTATCCTCAACTGCAGCGGGCTCGATGCTCCATGACTTCTCCACGAACTGCTGCAAGCCTGCCGAATGAAATTTTCGTATCGCCGCTAGTGTCATCTCACTCGGCCGGGCTGTCGAGGGTGTCGGATAAATATGGCCGAGTACGCGGCCGTCGCCCCGCCACGAGTTTCGGCACCCCCATCCAGCAGAGCTCCGAACGCCCATCGTGTCCACAGCAGCTGTGATCGGTGTCGCAGTAGGAAGACAAAGGTAGCTTAAGGCATCTCCACGTCAATCAGTGCCAAGAAACTAATGACTACCTCTAGTGTATTGATCCTGGTATGGGGTTTCTCCCACCGGTAGTACGATCGTGCCGACAATGACACAAGCTGACAATCTTAAGTCCCGGGACCATGTCGTTACTGCGCACGCACAGGCGCGGTGTGCACAATCGCTACCCCAAGAAGGAAAAGGCCTTATTACCATGTTACCGAGGAAGAATACCAATGTTCTATGCGCATCCTCGAACATTTCTTCCCTGGGCATGAGCTTAACCTGCAATCGCTCCGAACCATTGCCAAAGCCATCAAGGAAGGCACATTCAATGCGGAGCCTGTCCAGCATACCGAAGGCCTCTTCAGTAATGACCAAGAGTCGCCTGAGGATGCAGAGAGTGTTGATGATGGCGAGGAACAAGACGTACAGGAACTGCATGAGCCGTTGGGCTGCATGATGAAAGATTCAAGAGGGAAATTTCGATACGTTGGCGCTCACAGTGAAATACCCTTTAATGCTGCTGTGGCCACTTTGGGTATGCAAAGGAAGGACCCGTCGATTATCCCAGGCCCCAAAGTAGGCTCATATCCGCCTACACTACCAGGCTCCTCGCCTTCGAATTCTCCTGGTTTTGAAGAGAGCTACTACCTTCCCGGTCGAGAGTTGTGCGACGTCTACATCTCCCGGTTTCTAGAGGATGTCCATTGCACGTACTGGTTATACCCAGTGGAAACCCTGCTCCGACGAATAGAAAACACGTACTCCGAGTCGACACCCCGCTCGTCGAGCTCTTGGATGTGCTGTTTGTACACGATGTTCGCTATTGGCGCAGCCAACTATGTAGGCGCCAATGGCAACTCTCCGCCTCCGGATTGGCCAGCTGCATTAGACTTGAAGACATCCGAGGACTACCTTACACTTGCAAAACAACTCATTCCGGCAGTATATGATGAGGCCGATGTCGACAGTATACGTGCTATGGCTACGATGGTATGTACATTTGGCATTGTTGAAACTGTTCTCGGCATGGCTGACCACTGCTCAGAGCATCGCTATGGAGAACCTTTGCTCCAGGGTCAGCGCTTATCTGTACATGGGCGCTAGCGTTCAGATGGCCTTTTCTCTAGGCTTACATCGTGACCAACTGGCTGAGTCTGGAACTACAATAGAGCGAGAACAAAATCGCAGAATCTGGTGGACACTGTTCCAGCTCGACCAGGAACTATCTTCGCGAGGCGGGAGTCCGACGGTCATAGATGAGCGGTTTACGAAGGTCACTACACCCATGCCGTCAGAGCAGGTAAGTCTAAAATCGCCCATTCATAACGCGTCAATACTAAAGGTTATGAGATACTATATCCCGGACTCCATACCCCGCTATCATGGATGGCGACATCGGTGTCTCTCTGTCGCTTGAAGCGTGAGATCATACAGTCAGTCTACATGGAACGCTCCGCCAACTCGATATCCTTCTCAACCGTATCAAATTCCCTTCTGCTGCTGCAAAAGTGGTATCGCCAGATGCCACCGCATCTCAAATACGACGTACCCGCGCCTCCCACGCACCGACGTGCGGTTGCACTCTTGCATCTCCAATATTGGAGCACCACGATACTCCTCACGCGGCCGTTCCTTCTGTACCTCGTCATCAAGCACGGGACGCTGGCTTCGAGCAAAAGAATATGGTTCGAGCGAATGGGCAAGATGTGCATCGACGCCGCACAGAAGAGCATCTCGATACTGACACAAATGGCAAACGATGGTACACTATCGAGCTTGACGGCCTTTGATAGCACATGTATCCTACGGCTGATCATGATCTTTATCCTTGCCTACGCACACACCAGAACATCCCGGTATAGCGCGCATATCGAGAAGCTAGTGGAGCTCACACGTGGTATGGAGCAGATAGGTTTTACCAAAATGGTAACTGAGGAAACACCATTACGTCTCGCAGACCTGGGTATCACTGGCCAGGCTCAACAGAACAACGGAGACGCGAATGGGTCGAATGGGCAGGTGCATCTCGATGACGAGATGATCGCTCAATTATGGGGCAATTGGGATCCGTAAGTGATGAACGAGCCTACATAAGCCATAACACTAACCCCCGCAGCAACTTCATGACCCCGCTACAGACACAGCAAAGTCTTGATCTTACGTTCGATGATTCTGGCGCCTACGACATTAATTCGGAGTTGTTGGCTTTCACGAATTTGGACGATTCCATCATTATTGACCCGTCGCAAGCGTTTTCGAACTATGGCATGCATTGCTGAGGCTTCTCGGATCATTGGTAGGGTAATAAAGAGGAGGGAGTTATGGAAAGCATGCGTGGTGTATATATAGGAAGAATTTGGGAGGATTTCAGGAGTTTGCACATCATGCATCCGGCGTTTTTTTCTGGCAAGCGCGCAACAATACATCAACGATGGGAAGAGGTTACGATAATACAAAGTATACAGGCGACTCGCGAATGTAACAAGAGTTGAAGAGAAGGGTTTCTAGTGCATGGTGATTCAGGTACTGCAGGTCTCATGTTCTTTGCTCTCAAGACCAAGAAGCTGGAAGAACGATGTCCCGCTTTTCTAACAACAGCTGTCTCGAGATGTTGATGTAGCTTAGAATACACGGCCCTTTGTCTGCTTCATGCCAATAACGTCGATGTTTCGCCACATGAGCACGCCAGCTATGCCGATGATCCATGCAGCAGTACCTGCGATGAACAGATATCTTTGTGCATCTCCGTAAGCCCTCTGTACCGCCAAACGAGTGGGTGATCCAACTGGGTACGACAGCTGCGTCGTGATATCCGCGTAGATCATCAAGAAGTTTGGAAGTTCTTCCGCCGGAAGGTACTCCATGAGCTTCTTGGGGACCACGTCTTGCCAAATTGCAGAGGACACCGTTAGTCCAATGGCTCCACCAACACCTCCACACATGGAAACCAGAGCGATGGCGACAGCGAAGTATTGCTGCTCCTTGACTGCGGCCAGGATGGCAATCTCGGCCGTGATTGTCATGACGCCACCACCAAACGCGGCGAAGATCTGGCACATGACGATATAACCGATCTTTTCCGTGGGCTGATTGAAGTGGATGAGCAGTGCGGTTCCGAGTACTACCATAGGGAGTGAGAAGAAGAGAGTGACTGGTTTGAACCGTCCAGTATAGGATATGAAGCCACCGACAAGGATAGCCAAGATGTAGCCACCAACGCTATAGGTCGACATGATGTAGCTGGCATGCGTAACGCTGAGGTTGTTGACGACTTGCAGGATGGAGGTGAAGTACAAACTCCAGCACATATAGCTGAAGAAGAGAGCAAAGGACAGGAGACACGCTCCAGCGACAGTGCGATCCAGAAGAAGGTTCCAGGGGATGAAGCAAATCTCAGCAAAGAATCGCTCCCAGATTCCGAAAAGGATCAGTAAGATGATACCGAAGACGAGAAAGCAAATGATCATGGGCGAGTCCCATCCCTTGGCTTGCAGAGTGTAGAGGTTGAACGGCAGAAGGAAGAATGCGAATCCAGTAGATAGCGTGAAGAGACCAACAGCGTCGAACTCGCGCATGTAGTACTTGAACGACTCCCAAAATGTGCGTCCACTCGACCGTTGGGGTACCAGACCTTGCTTCTTCGCCTTGAAGTAGTGGTAAGTGAAAAGGCCGAAAAGAGGAAGGGTGACCGCCGGGACGAGGATGCTTTCCATGCCAAAGGCCCAACGCCAGCCTGCTCCGTTGAGAAATGCCGTAGAGATCGGTCCGCCAAGCCAGGCGGTGATCAAAGAGGACGAAGCAGCCAGAGCTTGGATAAGACCTCGGTGGCGCAATGATGACGTGTCTGCGACGAACACGCTCAGACTGTATCCAACACCATTGATGCCGACGGTATAGAAGATCTGCGACGCAGCGTATGCCTCAACGTTGTTGCAAGCAGCCGACATAACAAGCCCGACAGTGGCGAGTATGGAGCAGAGAAGGAATCCTTGTGGGCGGCCGAAAACGTCCAGAACCTTGGCTATGCTGAGATTCGTCACACCTCCGATGACAGAGCTGAGGACGCTGGTGGTAGGGGTGAGGGAGTGAAGGGCGAAAGAAGAGGTAACGTAGGGTATCAAGGCGCTGCTGATTTGGCCTACCAAGCCCTGGATGAAGTAGACCAGCCATATGAGGATATAGGCAGTCACCAGCGCTCCGGTGGTCCAGGAGAGCGTCACGGCTTCGATGTCTTGAACACCAGCCTGGAAGTTGGTGTCAACCGTGTTGTCGCCATCTGGGGTATTGCTAAGATATTCTGCGTCTTTCTCCGATCCATGTGAACTTTCGTGAGGGGCATTGCGAACCTGGCTAACAGCCGCCTTATGCTCGACCTCGGGGTCGTTTGACATTGCTCGTCGTAGGGTGATGTTGGCCAGCTAACAGATGTTGGGTGCTCGCTGATCCAAGAACGAAAGAAACAGTGCTGGAGGCCGACGGCTATAAGGAGGGCGAAATGGCGTGCAGCGGAGAGAGCATGCAGAGCCTCAGCACCGAGACTGCGGGAGAAGATAAAGGAACCAAAGATACTACAAAGAGATCGAGACCACCGTAAGCCGATAAGATGTCTCGTGTATCTGTCTGGCTATTCACTCATTTTGTGGCGAGCGACACTCGAAGAGGTAAAGACACCGACTGGCAGGATCAGACGTGCATCGCGGGCGTGGCGGTTTCTTGCTCATACCTTCTCCACGGCACGGGTCGCGACATGTCATCCACATGAAAATTGGGTCGTCAGCTTGGCGACGGAATTGAGAAGGCGTGGTTCTGTGACACCCGCAGTCGCTTCCGGGTGCAGCGGTGGTGAGCCGTCTCCCGGAGGCTTGAAATGTTCTACCAATAGCATCGGTTCAGCCCCCAAATCGCGGGTAGGCGACTGTAGAAGTCACTGGTCAAGATCCAACATCGAACATTAGTGCATGGTTAGAGTATACTGCCGCCATGTGGCTTACATGCTTCTGATCTGCAACTCGCCGGAAGGCGTCTAGCTCGAAAGCCCCATTCCAGGAATTAGCTCTAATGTGCTCACCCATGACTTCCTGTCTAGCCTGAAGATGCGCACAAAGCCAACAATCGCCACAGCGACCAATAAGAATTACCTACAATGCAGACCGCGCCAATGGTGGATCTGTGTCCTTCAATAGAGCCTATGCATGCATGCGACCCGCGCAGCGCACGCCCCTTCTTTTGCTGACATGTAGTAAGCTGAGCATCCAGATGCGAAGAGTCAACCGCTCGTTGAAGGGGATTCAGAGGGAGATGTAGTCGACCTGGAAGACAAACGCCGTAGATCATACAACGAGTCTTATGAGCCAAAGTCCATCTTGAGCGCGATCTTTGGCATGCCGTCATCCTCCCTACTAGCCTCCTGCCTTCTCGGTCCTTGCCCGCTCTTGAGCACTCCCTCCATGAAACTCCTCTGGTCGGCGTTTAGCCCGGTCACCACGCCCCTAAACGCCTGCTGATCCGCACTAGCGATCTCGAGTAAGCGCGCCGCAATTTCTTGGCTGGCCTTGGGCTCCTTCTGCGCCCGTGCCAACAGCGCAGGTATAATGATCTTGGTCGCAGTCTGGCGCTGTGACGGTTGTGGTAGTGTGGAGATGAATGTGACAAGAGTCTGTGCGAGCGTTGTGCGAGATTCGTCAAGACCCTCTACATCAGAAGGCGTTGCCAAGAAGGCGAGTGTTGGTGGAAGGATGAGTTTAGCAAGGCTCGTCTCAAGAGCGCCTTTCTTGGGTAGAAGCAGCAGTGAGCGACAGCAGCCTGCTGCTACCTTGCTCGTTGTTACCGTGCCAAGACAGTCGAAGAGGTCGTCGATGAAGCGCTTGACGAGCGGATCGTCAGGTGAGAACGCAGAAGCGGCGGAGCTCAGTAAGATGGTAGTCGCAAGAACGGTATTCTTCTCACATGCAAGAGCAGCATCAAACTCACGCTGCTGTGCGTATCTGAGAATTGCGAGGAAGCGCGAAAGAGTTGCGCGGAGTTGCTTGCTAGTGTCATCCGTCCCTTCGGCATGCGGTGCGAGACTGGTGATGAAGCGCTTGAAGATCGGAAGCGCTTGAGGAATGACTGTGGTTTGGCAGGCCCCAGTGCTTAGTATGGTCGCGAAAATGTGAAGGATGCAAGCGTGAAGGTCAGCCTTGATAATCGATGGGAAGACTTGCGCGGCATCTACGAGCGCAGACAGCGCTGTTGTCAGTAGAGCGACCGCCTCTTCATTCATCTCGTGGCGTGCTAGGAGTGAGATTAGCGACTGCTTATGACGCAATATTGAAGCCAACATACCCTTGGCTTTGCTGTCTTCCAACCCAGGCACAAGTCCAGACAGGACTAGCACCATAATCTTGGTTAACTCGAACAGCTGATCAATGTCTTCGGAAAGATGCTCATCCGCGGCGGTAGTTCTATCGATGTCAGCAAGCTAATTGTAGAGCTTCCGGATGTCCTTACCCTTGGTCTCTGCGTGCAGATGGATGGCCAAGACACAGGTTCCGTGTGATTTCGACGATGACTGTTTGAACCGTCAAGCCCTCCGTGAGCACGAGTCGATCTAGCATATCCATCGTTTCTGAGAACACAACTTCCCGATAGATTGCATGACCAGATACCGAAGGTCGCAGAATCTTCTTCAGTGCCTGCAATATTTCCAGGATCTGCTCCTTGGACGCTTGTAGATCACCTGGGCGGCCTGCTAATGCTTCGAATGCAAGTCCGAAGAGAACGAAGAAGAAAGCGACAGGCTCATCGCGGTAGTTGATGTGATCAGACTTCCCATTGGGGGTAGATTCCGACAACTCGGTTTTGCCATCTAAAGCGTCAAACACGAACTCGCTGTCTTCGTCAATGAGGCTGGCAATGGCATCTACAAGGTTGAGCCAGGTATCTTGGTAGAACTGCACTTTGTTAATATTGATCAAAGGTTTTCGACAACCAAACATACCTTCAAAAGCGTCTCGCGGTTGAGCGCAGCATAGATTGTGTCTAGACTTCCAGATAGAGAGGCAGAACCCATGGAAGAAGAAATGTCGGGCTCGAACCTCAGACGGGCATACTCTCGGAGCGACGCTAACCAAAGAGGAGTCAACTTTGCGATGTGTGGCTTCAGTACATCCACCAAGTAGCTTTGCTCGGCACTCGCAATCTGCAGTTCTGCCCACGCTGAGAAGACTGCCATTTTGACCATGACTTGAGCGTTCGAGCTGAGTCCTTTGAGATCGCCGATTGCTGCGGTTTCGGATTC